TCCCTTATATACACTTACTTCTATATATGACATAAATACCCAATCTGAAGCTCAGAATTTCCCCTTTAGTGGGTTTCTCAGTCATTTTGATGGGCTTGGTGCCATTGCTTTCTTTTGAACCAATATTTCAAGGAGGTAGGGTGTGTCTTTAGTTTGCTCGATATTTCATTTTTTTTTTACTAAAATACATCTTAGTTACTAAGCTTTATAGATTATAGTGAAATTCTATGGTATTATTGTAGTAATTTATGATTTTTTAGTTATTCAAAAGTATATATGAAATCTAAAATAAAATATTTTGTTTCATATCCTCCATGTGCAAAATTTTTGAAGGCTTAGCAACATACATAAAGCAGCAATCAAGTACAAAGGTTGTAACTAGAAAAGATAATTGTTTGCTTTACTTGTTTATTTACTGGTCTGTGTTTTTGGAAAAATATGTTTAAGAACATATTTCAAAATGGCAATAATCTATATACATAAATAATGTATAATAATTGATGTATTTGTGTTATAATTTTTGTCATTCTAGAACAAAAGAGGCATAACTTATATTTATTTGCTAATATTTAATTACTAATATTACAAGATCAGTCACATTCCATGATTGATAGGCAACATATGAAAAAAAATAGACATGAGGAAAACATTGCTTTATAAACTTTAAGACTTAATGAAAAAATTTTATATTTTGCATATGAAAGCATTGTAATTTTTACTGATAATCTGCCAAATTTCATTAACATTTGCTCACTAATTTAAAAGTTATAGCATGAAACTATAACAAGCACAAAATAGTTACGAGGACGGTCCCAGGGACTGAACTCATACTCAAAGAGTTAGCAGATTATGCAATGACAGTAGAATGGTCATCAATCTTACAAAGTCTCTGCCGTCTTCTGAAAATTCAACAACAGATATACTGATAAAGAGAAACCATCACCATCCTTTGTGAGCATTGTCATCCCACTTAAAGAAATACTGTTGTATCTGGGGGTAACCTTTGATGGACAACTCAACATCACCAGCTACACTAATGCTACGATAGCCAGAATTACCAAAAGCAATAATGCCTGATAGTTATATTTGGAAATAGAGCCGAAGAATGTTACCTGCTAATGTTCTACCAGAGTTTTATCTGCCCCATCCTGAATTATTCACTGCCAAAGATCAGCCTGAGTGCTAAGTAGCTACACAAAATTAAAAATATACAAAACACTAGTTTTAAATCTGGTCACAAGATGTATTCAGATACTCCATCTAGACCCTATTACATCTCAGAGACCAAGCAGCGTAGCAATGCTGCAGTAGGGTTTACAAACAGAATACTTCACTAAAGTCTTGCAGTCTAAGAAAGATGTACTCCATTATTATCTCTCTGCTGTTTTTAATTGGGACATTCCAGCTTCACAGTAACAACAGACATGAACCAAGCAAGGATTGTGTAAACGGTGTTCTGGAGAGTCATGGTAAGGCATGTTTTATAAAGCTGTCACTGAGATTATTGTTCACTTCTGGTGCCACTGGGATCTGTGGAAATCAGCTTAAATGGAAAACATAGATTGGGCAGAAGGTGAAGCATAAAACTTATCTACACCTATTTAAAGACCCTGGCAGAAAATCACCTGTCATAAGAACCACCTATAATAACCACAGGTGGTTCTTATGCCCCAAGCAGTAAGAGAACTGGTTTGAAATTCATCATTTCATGGAGCAACAACATTGTGCATAATGCTGGTGGAGCATTCAACCTTTACACAAGTAGCACAACAGTGTAAATAGAATAGAAAAAAAAGCAAGCTCTCCTCTGGATTGCTTAACCTACTCACCACGAGCATCCTTTACTGCACATTTCACGAGGTTTTTAGTGACTTTCATTCAAAATTTAGTTAAACTACTTTTTGTTTATGTAATACCAATTAGTATAGCATTAACTCATAGCTAAAAATCCATATTTTAATAGTATATAAGCTTTAAATTATAAATTTTATATAGCAATATTTAATAAAATCTTGAATTTACCGTAGTGTGAGAAATGTGAAATTTTTTCTCTAGGCACAACCTGTTTTCTAATTTATTCACCACTCTGCTGCCAATAAGTATGAAATTTAATGTAAATTACTCTTTATAAAATCATCATCACTGAAACAAATCATAATTTTTATAGCCTTTAATCTTGTTTGTTTACAAAGCTATTAAATAGAAAATCAGACTCCTTGCCACACCCACCCTGTCACATCCTCTCTTTCAGGATTTGTTAATAGTTTTCTGTTACATTTAATACTATGTTATTTATAACCAATAGAAAGCCAAGGTTTTCATCTATTGAATGATGTATTATGCTACATTGTGTTCTTAACAGAGAATTGTTAATATCTCTTTGGTACAAACTTTGTTTCCATGGGAAGATATTGACTGGCTTGGATGAATTTGTAATGGCTCTTGTCTCATAGTTAGAAAGCCAGAAACACTGTGATTGCTAGAGCAAAATGTCTGCATTTTGCATGTTATTACTCTATGCTCTTTGGTGCATTATTCAATTAAATAAAAATTAGTTAATGCACTACTACCATTAGTTTAAAAAAAGTAGTGTAAAGTGTCATCAATAGCTGACAACAAATAAAAATAATACTCGTGTAAGTATTTTATTTCTTGTTTTTCATGTTTAATCTTTATTTATTATTATAAAAGTAACTAAAATGTAAAAATAGGGATCTTTTTAAACTAGTTAAAGTTAGATTAGGTAAAATAAGTAATAATAATAATAATAATATTTCATGAGGCACATGCGAGCAGCTTGGAGTAGCTTGTGGGTAATGTAATTTGATAGTGTCACATGAGCCATATATTTCCCAAGTGATTTATAACTTATAATGACATGTGTAGTAGTTAGACATGGGTTCAAAGGGCAATAAAACAATATAATTTAAGTATGAATAGATGTGTGCTTTTATGAGTTTAAAGTTACTTAGGATAAACAAATGTAGTTTCATGTTACAATTTGAAGTCATTCTAGAAATAAAAGGGTAATTTAGATTTAATTTTTTTTTTTGTGGTTACGAGGTCAGTCAAATTGACCAATCTTGTATAAAGTCAGGGTAGATAAAATAAATAAAATATTAAGTTTTACTGAAAACAAGTGTTAGAAATGTATTTAGGAGGTTTTAGAGATTACACAAATGAAATTTGGGAATTTTGAGACAAAGAAAAATATTTTTAATCTTAACATGAAAATTACTTTGCTCATGGACTATTCAAAACAAATATTCAATATATTCATGGACAAATATTTTTTTAGTTTATTTATAATACTTCACTAAAAAATGTGGCTTTTTGTATGTGAAAGACTTATAATGTTTATTGAAACTATATTTTAATATATAAGCATTGGGAACCTTGATTTTCATGTTTAATTCATTTATTTATTAATTTTTATTCCAAGCTATAGATAGCTAATTTTGAAAGCTGGCTCTTTCTATCTGGAATTGCTCGACATTAGTAATGGGTCATGAAAGGTTAAATATAAAGATTTTCGAGAAAATGAATTGAAAATGAAATGCTTACAGAAAATAATGACTTGTTGTCATGTCAGTGCAATTAACATATTTTTTGTGTTTCTTATATTTTGATACTTTGTTCTTATGAAAAGTTAAGTTATTGCAAACTAAGGTTTTTTTCAGAATTGTAAACGAAACAAATTGTGCTCTGAAATAGTACTATATTCATGAAGCTACAGCTAAGCTATAAAAATATTTGTACAAAATTGGATTTGTGATTAATTAAAAAAACTAATAATTATAAATGTGTCTCACTATATGATTGCATATTCAATGTTACTTTTGCTCTAAATGGAATATATTGTTAGTTTCTCTCATTTTGACAATTGAAATTTTAACTTTTTGGTTTTACAGTTTGACTATGAAGCCTTTTCAGACACTTATGCAGACTTAAAGTTTCTAGAAAGCAAAAGAAACCAGAGAGAAGAAAATGATAAAAACTACAGCAAAAGTAGCAATAGCAGTAGTCCTGACAAAAAGGTAGGTGTTACGGAGCAGTGCTCCAGATAATGTTTCACTGTAAGGAGTAATCACTTCTAGTATTCTGTCAGTTGGAGTAATTTAAATTTTTTGACAATGTGCAGCAGGAACATTTTGGGACAATAAGTAATTTAACTAATTATGAATTATTTTATTTCTAAAGGTTAAATTTGGCACAAGATTAATTTAGCAAATTAAATCCCCAAATATATAATGGTATTAAAACTTTTTCTTTGCTTTTACACAAAATTGAATCATTCACGAGTGCACCAATAGAAACTTCTAGCAGTTAGAAATCACTTATTTTTGCAGCTCTACTCTGTGAACTGTGCAGTAAGTTGCAAGAATGCAGCCATTAACCCTATGGCCCGGATACCCTCTACTGCGCATGACACAAGGTTTTAGTGTCTTACATTCAAAATTTTATTATACTACTTTTTGCTTATGTTATACCAATTAGAATAGCATAAAATCTTACCTAATAATCCATATTTTAATAGTATACAAGTTTTAAGTTCTACAAGGCAATTCTTAAAAAAAAATCTTGAATTCCCATTAGTATGATCCATGTGACACATTTTGTCTTAGCATGTCATCATCCCTGTTTTATCCACCACCTCCTGAAAATGTACAAAATTAAACGTAAAATACTCTACAAAATTGTTAGTACTCAAACAAACCATAATTTTTATAGCTTTCAATTTTGTTTGGTTACAGAGCTTTCGATTAGAAAATCAGACCCCTCCTTCAATGCCCACCTGTCACATTCTCTTTTCACAATTCATTGATAGTTCTCTCGTGCATTTCATTATATATTACCTATAACCAATAGAAAGTCAAGGTTTCCATCTATCAAATGATGTATTGTATAATTGTATATATTTTGTGAAGATATATACACTATATTGAAAGTTAGAAATATTAAATCTATAAAAACTTTAATCAAGTACAAAGAAGTCATGTGGTCGTTAAAATGAACTGAGCCCATGTTGAGAGAGTTAATTACTGTACCACTATTAAAGTGGCAAGAACTGTATTCATTTTTCTACATCAGTAAAACAAGTTCTCAATACTTTTTAAGGCCATAAATTACTTATTTTTGGTTGGGAATTATGTCTCTCTTAAGCTACAATAACCTTGGGTTTTACTTTTTTCGTTATAAATTGAATAAAAATAAACTGTACAAGAAAAAAAAATTTACAAAGAACTGCAAGTTATTTTAGGATTTTGAAAGTATTTTTATATGTAAATTTGACTATATGTATTGCCTGTCCTCTCAAAATTGCTCTTGGCTCCCTTTAATTAAGAAAACAAAAACTAACTATTACCGTTTCATAATCCTTCAACAGCAGTGGATATTTTTAGATTAGGTTGTTTTTGGTGCTGTTACACTATGACCTGACTTGGTGGTTAGAGAGTTTTGACATCTGCAGGTTGTGGGACCTAAACCAGTCACTGAACATGCTCATCATTTTAACAATGAGGATGTTATAATGTGATGGTCAGCCACACTATTTGCTGGTAAAGAATAGCCAAAGCAATTAGCAGTGGGGGTTGTTGTCTAGCTGCTTTCCTGCTAGTCTTTAACTTTAATATTAGAGACAACTAGGGTAGATAGCACTCAAGTAACTTTACACAAAATTCTACAAAAAAAGCAAATAAGCATTATGATTATGAAAGCTAAATCTGTATGTGGATACTTCAGTTTGATTAAAATGTTTCACTTTTTGACATGTTTGAGAAAAAATACTATAGGTTGAAGTAAAATGAATGTTATTTCCAGTGACCTAAGTATTGCATTCATTTGCTATTTATTTGTGTTACCCTAAACAAATACCATTTGTATGGAGTCCATAGAGCAGTTAAAATGAAATCACAGCCATAAATTCCAGAAGAAAAACTTTAATGTGCAACATTTTGGCTTCTGCCTTCCTCAAGAATTACATATATTTGTTGTTGTATCTAAAATTCAAATGATACCTTATAAAAAAAGAATACACAGTGAAAGATTTTTGCAAACATGTTCAAGGCATTCAAAAGCACACTATTACTTATTACTTCTTTCAATAACACACTGAATAATAAAAAAATTGCAAATTTGAGCTTTTGTGAACAAAGGGTGTCATATTTCAGCTATACACAACAATGATATGTTCTTAAGTTTCAACCTTTCACTTATAACTACTGCATTTTTTGTTATTACGTCTTCCCTGTTTTGCATAACGGTATGTTCATGAAGTAGAAGCAAATTTTTCACACAGAAGTTCATTGAAAATTTGCATAGTAGTTTATTTAAAGATGGGATGTTTTTTAAAAAAAAAAAAAAAAAAAAA